GAAAGTTTCATTTAAAAACCGGCCATTTCATATGCAACAACCTAACGTTCGTAATTATTTGAAATCAATTCGCATTAATACATAGACGAATGATTTTTCGAATTAATAAATTATCGACGCGTTTGTTGTACACGCATCGGCATAAATGCCGTCCCTATTTGTGTGAGACGCACACACACAAACAAGCGGGTGACTAATCCGATCGTCGGACGACCGAGGCATGACTTTCGGATTGGTCGTTCGCTTGTGTGCGCTGCGCCTCACACGGATAGGGACGGCATTTATGCCGATGCGTGTACAAAGAGTTCATTTCCTCTCGTCTCATTTGACGTCGAGGAAAACGCTGTAGAGATTTTTCACAGCAAATAACTCTAGCCACCTTAAAATAATACTTTCGGAAGAAACCAGAATTAAATAACATATATTATTAACTCCCGCAAGCCATCGCTCGATTAGCCGGCGCTTTTATTTCTGCACATTAAATGCCATTATCTGTTAATTATTTTAAAAGCGATAATATTTATTTATCGGAGACGCAGGCTTACATGGATTTCTCGGCCTTCGTCCGCCTCCTATGCCGTGTCTCCGCCGGTCGTCGATCGTAAATCGGTCGTTCGCCGCGTTTCTGCTGCCGGACGAGAGCAAACAGGCGATAAATCAGCACATAAAATGGACCGGCGATCGATGAGTCGACCGGAAGAATAATACTCGGGCGTGCCGCTCGATGATGGCACCGTGCGCGCGTGGTGCCAAGCCGTCTGCTGGTTACCTCGGGAAACGGGAATAAAAATAAATGCGACCGGTAACGAACTTTAACGACGGGGGCTCGAGAAATTGGATTTGACGCGCCGCGCGCGGTCGCGAAGCTATCGCGAGGTTCTACGCGGATTCTAGATTTTCCCTGGTTAATCTCGATCCTCCTGTCCAGGTGGACGGTTGTTCGACAACTCGAATCACGTTCTCTGTAGATCACCTTCGACATGTTTGTCGTTAACTTTTCACAGAGGCCGAAGTAGATATCGTACGCTCGCGCCACGCGAAGCTATCAAGGTTCTACGCGGATTCTAGATTTTCCCTGGTTAATCTCGATCCTCCTGTCCAGGTGGACGGTTGTTCGACAACTCGAATCACGGTTTCTGTGGATCACCGTCGACATATTTGTCGTTAACTTTTCACAAAGGCCTAAGTAGGAAACGTACGCTCGCGCCCTTACGGCATAAAGACAACATTGTATTGCAAATACATTTAGTAAGTTGTTTACAATCGACTCTCCCGCGGCGCGATCCGCGAAACTCTCGGAAAACCGTATTTTCCGTGAATATTTCAGTGCATAAGTCGATGCGTTGTCGCATAAATGTATGAATAATCAGTGTCGAGGACCGCGCGCGCAAGAAGTTCGGACGCGCATCGTCCACCCCTCGTAGCCGCGGATGAAAATCATCGAGGCGAACTCTCCAAGTCACCCACGTGGACTTAACACGAAGTTAAAAATCATCGTCAGCATTCCCGAAGCCGCGGTGAGACGTCAAAGCGCCTCGAGTGCCTCGCGAAAAAGCAAATATTTAACGGGGTAAGGTGAAATTCCTCCGAAATTCCTGTTCTCGCGTTAGACAGCCTGGCTGCTTCAGGACGCGCCATACCGACGTATTGTCCGCCTGTCGTACTACCGGAATACCGGAATACCGAACGTATCCCCGAGTCGAAATGTTGGTGCTATTTTGACACTTTTAAGGATAATATACACCTATTTAGCTGACCTACACACCTACATAGATCAGCAATAACCTACTTTCGTGACATAATATTTTTTATTCCTCCCTTGAATCTTTAATTCTAAAAATTTGCTTTAGCTCCTACTTTAATGCTAAAAATTTGCTTTAGCTCCTACTTTAATGCTAAATTGGCAAATGTAGAAATTTTTTACACTATCAGTTTTAAAGTGGGAGCAAATTTTGTACTTGCAGTTCGACCTCTTTTACCGTCTTAACATTCCAAAGTTTATATTTTTTTACTCCTTCCTTCAATCTTTAATCCTAAAAATTTACTTCAGCTCCTATTTGAAAAGAACTACTTTAATGCCAAATTGGTAAAAGTAGAATCTTTTTACACTATCAGTTTTAAAGTAGGAGTAAATTTTGTACTTGCAGTTCGACCTCTTTTACCGTCTTAGGTCAAGAGAATTAAAGGTTTAACGTACAGGGCCAAAATTTCGACTCGGGTCTCTTTTGTAATATAGAATTTTCTTCTCCCAGGGACGCCGAAAAGTAATCTCGGTTCCCTCACAAGCGCAGAAAGTACGGATTCGAGATACTATTCGAATACGCAAGTAATCGCTTTATGAATGGTTCCGTTATATAATAGAGATTAAATAACGAAATGTTTGTTTTTTTTTCTTAAAGAAAAGGACTATGCCTTTTTGGCAGCACGAATAATACAATGAATTTTTTATTATTGTAACACAATGTCCAGCTGGTATCCTTGCTCGAATCGGAGTAGGCGAAGATAAATGATTTTACGGACTAGGCTTGCGAAAATCACGACGTTTTGTTACTCCGATCATTAATCTTTCCATCGCAAGGTTGAATGAGATTCAGCACCGAATTACGTAACGCAACAATTATGACAAAGGTTATAACTCTATCACTGTTACATTTTAATCGTAGCCCCGTCACACTTGAATTTAAAACGCTGGAGCGACTTGACGAATTACTCATAAATCCACAGAGAACATTGGATGATCTATTTACAGTGGATAACACGCAATAGCGGAGATAAATATCACAGAGTTTCCACCTACCTCGCCGGACGGAGGAAGGTAATTTTCGTGATATTTCAGAGTACCGTTAACTCTCATTATTAACCGATCTACTATTCTTCGACACGTCGACAGAGGAGCGTACCCGTTAATATACCAACACACCGGTCCGCGCCATTATCGGGGTCTACCTCCTCTTCTCAACCTCGCGGTCTCGACGCTACCCGCGCGGATCATCTATATATCGCGCGGTGACTATTTATACAGTAAGCAAAATACCTGCCTTCGGTATACTCGTAATTCGAACGAGCGAACGAGGAGGAGCGACGGCTGTCAAGGAGTGAAATACCATCCGGTCCACTTCGCGCGCTCGAGTCCTCCACTCGAGGCCCGAGCTGCCTCGGGGCCCGGCCCGGTGTGGCCCGGCATTATGAATGAAACCGCGCAAAGCCGGTTCGGTGTGCGGGCCCCGGGGCAGCTCCGGGTATGCGAGCGAGGGGCGTCCGTCGAGGCCCTCCAGGAGGAGCTCAATGGAGCTGGGTGAAAAAAGGCTTCGTGTGGTCATTTTTCGAAGGCAACAATAAAAACGCGTCCCCGGGTCCCCGCCGCCGTCGTCGCCACTTGGACCTGCTCCGCGCGCAGGTTGCTGCGTCACAGGCAGTGACACATCCTGCGGGATTCCTGCGCATCGAGAAGGGCGCAACAATGGAAGACGCGCGGCGACCGGAGAGACGATGACTGGTCTCCGTCGTGGAAGACGACTCACGCGCGCACGGCCATTTATGCGATATCATTCCAAGGGGCGACACGGGGGCCCGTCGCCCGTAAACAATGCGACCTTACGTGGAGCAGCGGAGAGCCTCGCGCGCCTCTCCTCTCGACGGACGTTAACGATCGGCGTCCTCGCGCGATCGCGCGCGACCGGACGCCGTCCACAAGATCCTCTTCGGTTCGTTATATCAAGCGACTTTTTATATCGCACCTTAGTCCATCTCGCATCGAAGTCGATGGACCGGTTGAAATCGTTAGATCGTCGAGCTCCTTCGCGTCGTCAAATCGTCGGATTCCTTAAATTTTCACGTCACTGCTTCGCTTGGGGGATGACGTAACCTTGGCTTCGACAAACGGACAATAAAAGTATGCGCGGCACAATGCGAGAAGGAGTGAATGGCTCTAATTTTATACCAGATGTGTCTTCACCGACGTGACTTCACCTCAGCGCGGATCACAAAAGGGGTAACCGAACGCGTGGACCACCGATCGGAGGAGCGTCGCGTCACGGAGGTTCTCGATCGATCACGCGGCCCGGAGCGCGTGATCGCGAGTGCGTGATTCGGGCACGAATCCGAGAGGATCCGGCTTCTCGATCCATCGGTCAAGTCGTTGACACCCCGGTCGGCTCGCGAGTGGCGTGTCTGGTGCGTCACGTAAAAAGGCCGTTCTTCTTCCGTAATGCGGGAACGTTGCCGGGAAACGTCGATGACAGGAGCCCCCACGCCCTCGCACTCACGCGGCACACGACTCTCAAAGGCTGGACACGTACGCGGCATTCCACCGGAGATACTTTACGAACACATGGCTGAAAATTTATCCACCTATGCCCGCAGACGTCGCCGTCCCGCGCCCTCGCAGCCAGCCGCGTGTTGCGGACGTGCTCGCTCAAGTCTGAAGGATCAGAGAACCAGGAATCGGTTCCTTCGCGCTGCAATGGATCGAGTTTTAGCAACGCGCCACTTATTCATTTTCGCCGAGAAATCTGACGGGCCAGGACCAGACCAGGATTCGAACCTGGGACCTTGGAGCCGAACCAAGTCCGCGAGGGAATTGAACCACGCGACTTGGCGCGAACTTTTCAATGAGATTTGCGACGAAAGGACGAACTCTCTTTCAATATCTTAACTCGTTGCCCCGCATTGCCCGGCGCGTGTTGTTTTATGTGTTGTTTCAGGCTGAAATAACAAACACGCGGGGTAAATGTTTATGTTTTTAACTACACACCTGTGTCCCTAGAAAAATAACAATTATATAAATTTGTAAAATGATGTTTTGCTAGGTGAGCGCGGCGTGAGACAAGGGTTGTTTCTCGCCTGGATTATCTGCTGGTCGATTAGCGGGGGATTAGCAGTTAAGAAGTTAGGGAATGTCGATCCGTCGTCCCCCGGGCATCCTCGCGAAGTCGCTCATCGAGCCCCGTGTTGTCGCGTGTCAAACGTGAATTCTAATCCCGAATCCACGCGGATCCTAATAAACGAGTAAATAATTTTGGTCACGTTCCATCGATTTCCCCCCCGAGTCCCGCCACAATGGCCGTCTTCTTAAATAGGATTATATTAAGCTGTTTCACCGGCGCTGAATGGCGAGTCAAATGGAGGATCGTCGAGGATGTTTTGGTAGGCACACTACGTGAGCCAGCCGATGGCATTGCCGATGTGCCACCGTGAAGGAGAACAGAGGAGGAGATGGAAAAAGAAGAGCCAGCGGCGCGCAGCAGCAGCAGCAGCAGCAGCAGCGGCAGCAGCAACAGCAGAACAGAGCGGAGCAACAGCAGCATCACCGATGACGGGACACGGCATGGAGGAAGACAGTTGACAGGTGAATGGTCACGAGCATCTCTCGTCCCTCGTCCGGCCAGCTTTCCCACGTCTCCGCGAGTCCTCTCCTCTCCTCCGTCGTCCCTTTTTTCCGCGGGCACTCGCTAACGGGCGGGGACACGTCTCTCCTCTCCACGCCGTCGCGCTATCACGGCCCCCGGATATACACGTGACGTTTACGTCGCGATTCAATGCGCCGGCTTATGTCGCCGACGGTAGTCATTGCGCGCGTCAGCGCGCGGATTTATCGGCATGGAAAATGTTTTTGATTCGCGGGGCGAAAAAAAAAGAAAAACACGCGCGCGACGAATTTGCCACTTTCAGGCGGCGAATCGCGCGCCTTTTTTTTCAAATTGCGCTTCTCTCTCCCCCCCCCCCTCTCTCCCTCCTTTCGCGTTTCGGGAGACTGTCACAAATGTCACGGGAGTGAACGCGCGCTGTACTTAAAATATAATGTAGCAAACGGCGGTTAATTTTCTTTTTTCTTTTTTTTTTACTCAGATTAGGTCGAGTTTCGCGTACTATTCTGTTACGCATGCCGTGCGAAGAGTAAAACTGATTCGCTGGTTCGAAATCTAGTACGTTGTGTTCTGGTTAGTGGAATGGATGTTCAATTCTTTTCCTTTTCTCTCCTCCCGCTGCTTTGTTAATTTTCCGAAATACAAGCCCGAGAACACCGACCCCCTCGATACTCGCGTGTAATTCCTAAGCAATACACTTTTCTACTCCACCCTGTCTTTTGGTTCCTCATATTGTAATACAAACTTATTTGTTCCAGTTCTCTTTGTTGGAGCAGCAAGTCATCTTTCGAATTTATTACAGCGGCGTGAAACCGTAAAAGATTAATTGTCTCAACCGTGTTTTGTTCCAGCTGAGTCTCTTCTTGACTCGAATTTTTGGCTAATGAGAAAATTGAAATTTTGCCACGTATGTAAAACGTGTGTGAACCGACGCGACGCGGAAATGTGAGATTTCAATCGGGCTGCTTTTAACGCACTTCGGACGCAATCCGTCGGGCGGAATTGTTATCTTCGGCAGGGAAAGGACTCGATCGAGCATTCCAACGAGCGAGCGTGTCGTTGGATCGCCGGTCTTTGTCGTCGATTTATTTTAGCGGCCGATATTTCCATCCGTGCCGTCGCCGCCGCCGCCGCCGCCGCCGCCGCCGCCGCCGCCACCGCCCGCGCCGTCGCCGAAATTGGAGACTGCGAGCCAAAATCAACATGGAGCGGTTGTGCTCTCTCTTTCTCTCTCTTTCTCTTTTGCTCTTTGCTCTCTTTTCTTTCCTTTTCCCCCTCCGTCCCTCTGCAGCTTTTCACCATCTTTTCACCGTGTGTAAGACTAGACGCAACCCTACAATCCTGAGGCGAGGAATCCGGGTATTTCGCGCACTTATCGAAATGGGACTTCGGAAAGGCTCTTACGCGCTTAAGGTCATAAAAGTTAATACGAAATTATGTAGCGCCAGAAGCTACACGGAGAGAATTTTCTCTTAAAATTTATTCTGAAAATCATATGATTGTGGGACAACGTGGCATTTTGAAGAATTTTATCAGAGTTTTGTGAAATTTTACCATACACTTTACTGGTAAAGTGTATACTTGTAAGTGGAATTACTAGTAAAATCTCTGGGAAAAAAGAGACGGCAACCCATTTTGGGGCCCGCAATTAGTAATCGATTTATTTGGATTGTTCGTAACTCTACTTTGGGAAAAATTTTGACCGTGTTTTTGTACTTAAGCAACTTAACATTTCGGTTAGTGACAGAATTAATTGAGAGAATTGATTAATTACTTTAAAATCTTGGATATAGATAGAATAGCTAAATGCGATTTTTAGTTACGCGAGGTAAAAGTCGTAAAAGATTAGTGTTACGAACAATCCAATTAATTTGATTACTAATTGTGGGCCTTAAAATGAGTTGCTGTCTTTTTTTTACCCAGAAATATATGGTAAAATTTCAAACAACTCTGATAAGGTTCTTCAAAGTGCCGTGTTATTCTATACTGATAGAAAAAAATGGTTGCAGTTACCACAATCTCACTATAATTTATAGTCGCTTTAGGAGCCAACCACATTTTCATAATTCTTCCAACTACTAAGTTATGGTTGACCTAACGATATATTATAATTCTCATAGATACAATATTCGTCCGTGCAGCTTATGATATGGTTGTCATAATTCACCAAAACGAGCTTTTAATTTGGTAAGGTGTATTATAAATATTGCAATAACAACCACAAATAAAATTTTGAATAACTATATGTAATAGCAATAATAGTTTTTATATTGGAAATAAATATTCTCCGCTTTTTATTATATATACATTGCGTTCACTATGTTCATTGGTTACAACACTTTGCACTCACGAAGAATAGTACAAGGAGGCATCTTTTAAAGAAAAGATAAGTAATCTTACACTGAGAGAAAAAAATAGTTGCAGTTACCACAATCTCACTATAATTTATAGTCATTTTTGGAGCCAGCCATATTTTTATAATTCTTCCAACTACGTAAGTTATGGTTGACCTAACAATATATTATAGTTCTCATAGACACAATATTGGTCCATGCAACTTATGATATAGTTGTCATAAACCAAAACGAGCTTTTAATTTGGTTAGGTATACTATAAATATTGCAAT